GTGCCTGCTAACTGTTCTGTTAATATTCTGAAAATAAATGACCACTCGGACGGGTTCCGAGGAAATAGAACGCATACACTGAACAAACGATAGGTATTGGCCGGAGGCACACATCCTAAGAACGAACAGCCTGGCAGAGCTGCGCTCGGCGTACGGGGTATTTCAGTATCACCACTAAAATGAGACACCCACAATGAAATCCCGGGTGAACCTGGTATTTTTGGCAGTGATATCTTTTTGTTTCACGCAGTTTTACAGATTGCATCGTTTTTCTGGTTTGATAATATAGCTTTGAGGAAACAGAATGAAGTTCAAGAATGTTGCAGGCTTATCGGCAGGCGATGCAGCGCTAGTCGAGAAGCTGTTCAGAAAGCTGTTAGCTTCGTATAAATTATAAAACTATAAATTATAGCCGGACAGTTGTTCAGTTGTACATATGAAGTTAGTAAACAGAAATACAAACCAAAAGCCTGTAAAGCAAGCGCAATATTTTTCTTTCTTTCGAACCGATTTATAGACAAGAATATATGACGCGCTGTTTGCGGCAGTTCTTTTAAACTGGCTGTTGTGGAGCTATCAAAAAACTGCACATTGATTGTGGGATAGAGAACGTGAAGATGATGAGCGGCCAGTCCAGGGAATGTCCTACGAACAACTTCCCGAGTGAACTCGCTGTTCACACAAATTATGTCAGCCATTGCTGTGGTCCATCCCTAAAGCACAGCGTAATCATGACTGCTCCTGCGCAAGTTTCAATCCTACCTGCACGGCATGGGACACAGAAACTGATGGATTGATAAGTAACGGCCATTAGAAGTCAGCTGAAAACTGTTCAAGCATCTCACTATATCTGATTATAAGCACCAAACAAATCTACCAAGCCGGGATATAAAGTATGGTGGATTAAACCGACAGCAAACGCCGCCAAACATGCATACTTTCCGGGCGCAGAAAGATACGGCTGACCGGAAGTGTTAGAGATGGAAAGGCAAGCGCATAAAGCTATGAACTTCCCCACTTTCTACCCGAATGAAATTACATAAATCTTGAACAACGACCGTAACATCTTGAAATGGATAGAAAATTATCACATGCTTTTATCGGGAGAACTCCTGAACTAGCACTAATTTCAAAGAATAAAACAAATATGAAGTTCCCCAAAAGAACGACGGAGTGAAGACATTACCTACAGTTCTGCACACTCCCCAAATGCCTTTACAGTAATGATGGCAAGAAAATTAAGGAAGGGACACGGCATGTTAAAAACCTCATGGTACTAAATGAGACCATTACATGAAACATAACAGCAGAGCAATCAAGCAGTTTCAACTAATCTGCACAACACGGACAAATTTTTTATGAATTCTGAGTACTGCTATTCAGCTACAGCTCCGGTAGTCGCCCCTCCGGGTGAAACGAATCAAAGTTATAGTCAGAACGCAACAGCCCTCATCATTACGCAGAAGCAGCTGCTCGAAAGTATCGTACGTTTCATACCACCACAATAAGTGGAACGAAAAATTTCAGGAATATTACTTCGTCCGAAACTGACGATCACAAATGTAATTTACAGTCCGACTTCCCAACCATGCAACTGGCAATTTTCCCAACTGCTCCGACCAATGCTTCTTTGACTTGGTGATCAGCCTGTTTGTGGACCTGACGCACACTTCATCACCTGAAGGGAGGGTCTTAGCAGTTCTCTCAGCCAGTCCAATTTTGGCAAGCTTTTGCCAATTCGAGATGTTTTGGCATGTGTTAGACGTGACCATGTCGTCCCGAACGCTGCCATTCCTGCGCCAAGCAGAGGTACCTTTGTAACCAGTAGAGGATAAACAAAGCAACAAAACACTAAATCTAAAAATAAGCAACTAACTTCAAGGCTATCAATGAAAATACGGTAGAGTTTTTTGAACAAGCTCTTCCTCTCGGTGAGCAGCTGATCCGGAAAATGACAATAAAACAGAAGAGGTGCGCTGAACAAGCCAAGAAATCGAAATATTCGAAAAATCAACAAACATGCTGAAATCTAAAAAAAAGACTAGTTAGGGAAAGATAGAGTAAAGCGAATAGTTTGAAAAAATTCGCAACTAGTAACGTAGCAGGTGGGTTCAGACGTTTTTGTTTTTTGATAAGCCTACGGTAAATTATCAATTTCCTGGATTAAAAAAAACCCACAACTTTTTAAGCAAGAATCTAAATCCCTCCATATTCATATTTCATGAGGGACAGGAACAGGCACGTGCCAAAAACAGTCATGCACTCGCGCTGCTGATGGCTGCCGTGTTCAGACTGTTATTTGTAAACAAGCTTTTGGAGGTTTTAATCTGTCGACAAGCTGAACTCCTAATACTAATTTACGATCGAAATGAATAAACAATAATTATACAAAGACTAATTTTCCCCGGCCCCTCTTTAGCAAGAGCAGCGACACTTGCCACTGCGTTATATCAACCAGTGGGGCAACATTGATTGCACTACCAGCAGTTTTTATGCGTTTTTTGCAGCTATGCAACGCAAAAACGCATATTGTCAAGGGGTTGTCTGTGCGTATGTGTGTGTGTGTGTGTCTTGTGTGTGCGCTTGTAACGATTTTTCATCTCGAGATCCACAAAAGCTACAAGACTAAAAATTTGGTAACATAGTCTGCACATATGTACGGGCTCGTATCCTCAAAATGGACGCTCAGGTCCACGTGGTTCTCGCGTAGGGGAACGTGAAAGTTTTTTTTTCGAGGGAATGCGTTTTCGGGAAGGGCGCAAGCTAGGAGGCTGAAATTTCACAGAGATGTTTCTGGCCGCGTCCAATCCAAAGATCTCAAATTCAGCCTTCACACACCCCTAGATCTCATGCACGCACACGTGAAAGTCTAAGCTGGCACTAAGCCAACTCCAGATTTAAGCTGACCAATATGCCGTAGCGAGCTGCAATTTTGTAGCTTTACTTGTCGTCCGCTTTTGTGCCCGTGAAAGTAAATTGAATTGTCCAGCCCTTCTGCATTTCACGCACGAACACGTGAAAATTTCACACATGCGCTTCTGTAGTTTCAGAATTGAAGCAGCCAGAGGACTGGAACTTTCTGAGTATAGCCGACGGTGGAACTTTCTGAGTATAGCCGACGGATGCAAAAACGACTTATGCATCTCTCCACGCTTCAAGTACGTATCACGCACGCAGACGTCAGATTTGACACAACCCCACAACCGGAGCAACTGGAGTGTTGAAACTTTCCGAGCGTTACTCAGGACCGCGTTTAAGCAACCGCAGGCGATGAAAGCAATCACATCGCCACTCACGTACGAATACGCGAAATTTGACATAACTCTGCAACCGAAGAATCTAGAGAGATGAATTTTTTGGGCATGAATTGGGAGTCATTGTAAAAATGACCAACAGTCGTGGTGGCCAGTCTCAATTCTTTTAGTCAGAAACATTTGCCGGAAGGAACGTACCACTGGCGAA